TGTGGGGGTGTGTGCGCGCGCGCGCGCGCGCGCGCACGGGTTTGTGTGCTGCATTCACAAAAACGCATGCCTCACACTTATTTTACCACACGTGCACGCATTGGAAGTTGAATTAATTATAAAACGGGACCTTTGCAAACGCAGTACGTACTTTATCTAAATATAATATTAGATAATAATTTAAAATAACCTGATATTTACTGTTAGTGTTATTATGTTTTGCCCATTTCATGTAACCAAATTATTGGAAACACCAAACCTCGAATCCTATTCCACAGTTCAAACTTGACTGCAAACAAACAAAACTTTGTGCAGCCGCAACAGCTGTGCCGCTGCACCTTTAAGAAAAAAAAGGCTTCCATTCTGTTGCCCCGGTAACCCGGAAGCTTGGCGCCCCAGAGTACTTCCTGTTTGGGAGACCATCCAGGAAGCAGCAACGAGTGTCGAGTGTGTCGTGTCGCATGTTCTCAAAGCGTGTGAGTCAAAGATGAGCAACATGCTTGTTTCCGTCTGTGCAACTAGCGCGTCTTGGTTTGCTTTTCAAAGTATGTGAAACAAAAAAGCACGACTTTATCGTTCCTCGACTCGCTCGCAGCGGCTCCACATGGACGCGGATACTCTTTCAGTCTCAGCAGGCATCTGGAGTAACAATACACATTTGCTACCTTTTGGTAATGTCTGCAGACTTAACATGTGTGCAAGTGGAGCCAGCGCGAGTCATTGACAAATAGTTGTAATAAACTAACTGTTGGGGTTTTCTTTCGTTCTATTTAATACCAATAGTTGTCTGAATTATTAATGCTGCATTAATAGCACGGTCACAATCGTGTTATAGAAAAACATGCATTTGAACAAGATATTTCATCATTTTATTATGATTATTTTAAATCTCTGTCACAGGGGACACCTCGGTGATTTTGGGGAACTGATCTGATGCTTAGCTCTCCGCCCTGTGCTGCTAAACCAGCTGTGTGCATCTTGTTGATCGCCATGGCCCAGGTGGCCGGCCAGGAAGACGGAGAGAAAACCACAGCGCTCAAAGGTGATTCTCAAAGTCTTCGCACTAGAGCTCAATTTTTTTTTTTTTTTTTGCCCATGTGCGACATGCATCAGATATTCTTTTCATGCAGTGTGAACAGTACAATTCTGATTATTTCAAATCCGTTGAAACACATTTGACCGTTATGTCATCAAAGATTTCCCCAACTTAATCCACCTTGTACTACCACAACTATCATGTCCCAGTCACAGAAACCATGAATGTACAAATAAACAAAGACAGAACGTAGCTGTGCCACCTACATAATGTGGAGCATTTCAGAATGAATCTTATCTCATAGCATTGCAAAAATAAAGATATTTTTGGGTTTGCTTTTATCTTAGATTGGAAAGAGTCAACTGCAAATAGCTCTGTTTTTGCAGTTTGGCTCTGTATTAAGATAATATAATCTGACATGACATTCTGTTTCTTCTCAGACTTGCTGTCAAGTAGATTTAGAGATGAACTCATGAAGAAGGATGAACCCCCCTTCACCTTCCCCAAAACCCTGGAGGAATTTGAATATGCCTTCAATGATTGTAAGTAGACATTTAAAGGCATGCTCTGCAATATTTTCAAGAAAACAGCAGTACTCATCAACTCACATGGTCGATGTTAGCCAATTTTCTTTTTTTTTACCTTTATGTATCCGCCCTCGAACCATTTACAGCAATTGTACACAAGTAACGCTGCTCTCATTTCATTATGACACATAATTCTAGACCTTGAACTTTGTTCATGCTATTTTATTATGACATTTATTGCTAAGGACTTTCTATGGACCTGTTATTCCAAACAAAGTAAATCTTCATTTTTACAAGCAGTGATTTGGTGGACAGTGCAAGTTGTGCATGGAATTGACCTGGATGTCACTATTTTACACCCCCCCAAAGTCATGGTTTGTTTAAAAAAAAAAAGTGGGGGCAGGGGTCTTTTATGCATGACATATTTATGTATCTTTTTAATTAATCGTCCGATTAATCTGTAATCCATATTTTTTTCTCTGTCAGAAATCCGCATTGCATCGGCTGGGCCTTGGTTGAGATTTCTTTTTCTGTCCAGTTTTATTCTGCTGGGCTCATACTTTGTGAGACAGTAAGCAAACAACAACATGACATAAATGCGGCAAAAAAAAAAAGTGGGGGCAGGGGTCTTTTATGCATGACATATTTATGTATCTTTTTAATTAATCGTCCGATTAATCTGTAATCCATATTTTTTTCTCTGTCAGAAATCCGCATTGCATCGGCTGGGCCTTGGTTGAGATTTCTTTTTCTGTCCAGTTTTATTCTGCTGGGCTCATACTTTGTGAGACAGTAAGCAAACAACAACATGACATAAATGCGGCTAATTTTAAGGCTATGTGCGTATGTATGTCCAGATGGTCTGGAAATCTCTTTAGAATTCACCTGGCCGGCTTTGATCAAGCAGGTGGGGAAAAAGGGCTCGGGAGGGGGGGCTGGAAATGAAGATGCGAAGTGGGAAGCAGCCACATGCTCCTGTAGCTGGTACCCATTTCTTTTGCTTGTGTGTGTGTGTGTGTGTGTGTGTGTGTGTGTGTGTGTGTGTGTGTGTGTGTGTGTGTGTGTGTGTGTGTGTGCGCGCGCGCGCGCGCGCGCGCACGGGTTTGTGTGCTGCATTCACAAAAACGCATGCCTCACACTTATTTTACCACACGTGCACGCATTGGAAGTTGAATTAATTATAAAACGGGACCTTTGCAAACGCAGTACGTACTTTATCTAAATATAATATTAGATAATAATTTAAAATAACCTGATATTTACTGTTAGTGTTATTATGTTTTGCCCATTTCATGTAACCAAATTATTGGAAACACCAAACCTCGAATCCTATTCCACAGTTCAAACTTGACTGCAAACAAACAAAACTTTGTGCAGCCGCAACAGCTGTGCCGCTGCACCTTTAAGAAAAAAAAGGCTTCCATTCTGTTGCCCCGGTAACCCGGAAGCTTGGCGCCCCAGAGTACTTCCTGTTTGGGAGACCATCCAGGAAGCAGCAACGAGTGTCGAGTGTGTCGTGTCGCATGTTCTCAAAGCGTGTGAGTCAAAGATGAGCAACATGCTTGTTTCCGTCTGTGCAACTAGCGCGTCTTGGTTTGCTTTTCAAAGTATGTGAAACAAAAAAGCACGACTTTATCGTTCCTCGACTCGCTCGCAGCGGCTCCACATGGACGCGGATACTCTTTCAGTCTCAGCAGGCATCTGGAGTAACAATACACATTTGCTACCTTTTGGTAATGTCTGCAGACTTAACATGTGTGCAAGTGGAGCCAGCGCGAGTCATTGACAAATAGTTGTAATAAACTAACTGTTGGGGTTTTCTTTCGTTCTATTTAATACCAATAGTTGTCTGAATTATTAATGCTGCATTAATAGCACGGTCACAATCGTGTTATAGAAAAACATGCATTTGAACAAGATATTTCATCATTTTATTATGATTATTTTAAATCTCTGTCACAGGGGACACCTCGGTGATTTTGGGGAACTGATCTGATGCTTAGCTCTCCGCCCTGTGCTGCTAAACCAGCTGTGTGCATCTTGTTGATCGCCATGGCCCAGGTGGCCGGCCAGGAAGACGGAGAGAAAACCACAGCGCTCAAAGGTGATTCTCAAAGTCTTCGCACTAGAGCTCAATTTTTTTTTTTTTTTTTGCCCATGTGCGACATGCATCAGATATTCTTTTCATGCAGTGTGAACAGTACAATTCTGATTATTTCAAATCCGTTGAAACACATTTGACCGTTATGTCATCAAAGATTTCCCCAACTTAATCCCCCTTGTACTACCACAACTATCATGTCCCAGTCACAGAAACCATGAATGTACAAATAAACAAAGACAGAACGTAGCTGTGCCACCTACATAATGTGGAGCATTTCAGAATGAATCTTATCTCATAGCATTGCAAAAATAAAGATATTTTTGGGTTTGCTTTTATCTTAGATTGGAAAGAGTCAACTGCAAATAGCTCTGTTTTTGCAGTTTGCGGCTGTATTAAGATAATATAATCTGACATGACATTCTGTTTCTTCTCAGACTTGCTGTCAAGAATAGATTTAGATGAACTCATGAAGAAGGATGAACCCCCCTTCACCTTCCCCAAAACCCTGGAGGAATTTGAATATGCCTTCAATGATTGTAAGTAGACATTTAAAGGCATGCTCTGCAATATTTTCAAGAAAACAGCAGTACTCATCAACTCACATGGTCGATGTTAGCCAATTTTCTTTTTTTTTACCTTTATGTATCCGCCCTCGAACCATTTACAGCAATTGTACACAAGTAACGCTGCTCTCATTTCATTATGACACATAATTCTAGACCTTGAACTTTGTTCATGCTATTTTATTATGACATTTATTGCTAAGGACTTTCTATGGACCTGTTATTCCAAACAAAGTAAATCTTCATTTTTACAAGCAGTGATTTGGTGGACAGTGCAAGTTGTGCATGGAATTGACCTGGATGTCACTATTTTACACCCCCCCAAAGTCATGGTTTGTTTAAAAAAAAAAGTGGGGGCAGGGGTCTTTTATGCATGACATATTTATGTATCTTTTTAATTAATCGTCCGATTAATCTGTAATCCATATTTTTTTCTCTGTCAGAAATCCGCATTGCATCGGCTGGGCCTTGGTTGAGATTTCTTTTTCTGTCCAGTTTTATTCTGCTGGGCTCATACTTTGTGAGACAGTAAGCAAACAACAACATGACATAAATGCGGCTAATTTTAAGGCTATGTGCGTATGTATGTCCAGATGGTCTGGAAATCTCTTTAGAATTCACCTGGCCGGCTTTGATCAAGCAGGTGGGGAAAAAGGGCTCGGGAGGGGGGGCTGGAAATGAAGATGCGAAGTGGGGTGTTTTCTGCGGCTCTTAGCATTCCTCTCCTGCATCTCCCTCCCTCTGTTCTCTGTCAGTATCTCTGTTGGCTTCCTGGCTGGCTGAGTTTGGGACATGTTATGTACTCTATGCCCCGTCAGAAACCTACTCAGCCTTGCCCTCCGCCTGCCAGGTCATTTGCATAATCTCACTGTGCCGAAGAACAGAGATGGCGCCAAACGTAGCCATCCGCCACACCCCTTGACGCCGTAGTGCCGCCGCCTGCCAGCGCCGTTCCCCTCCTTCAGTTCCCAGCTTGGTGTCCCATGAAGAGATGAGCACTTTTTCTTCACCTCTCTGCCTTCACTGCCCTTTACTTTCTTGTCTCACTCCCATCATTCCATGCACACACACTCACACCTCGGGACAATTTAGAGTGCTCCATCAACCTGCCGTGTATGTTTTTGGATAGTGGGAGGAAAGCGAAGTACCCAGAGAAAACCCACGCAGGCACGGGTAGAACATGCCAACTCCACACAGGAAGGCCGGAGCCGGAATCGAACCCTGCACCTCTGCACCGTGGGGCCGACGCGCTAACCGGTCCCCCCCCTCCCCCCGCCGCTCGTCTTTCTGCCATAGTCATCCAAATTGAAACGAACAAAGGCTGGAAATAATTCACTTGCTGCGTGGTGAACTAGTCTAAGTTTCATGTTTTGAGACAAATGACTGAAATAAATGGACTTTCCCTGAAATCTTCAAATTTTTGGGCACCCACGTGTCAGCGGCTCCCAACCAAGCTGTTTATCTTGTCCCTTTCTGCCCGGGCCGGCCTATTTTTGGGGGAAGCAGAGCATTTTTTTATGAAAGACACCTTACCTCCTCGAGGAAATGTCTCCAACATGTCTTCCTCGCAGTCATCTTATTTCCGCAGTAACAGCCGGACTACTGAGACAGGCGGAACAAAAATGTTAATTTGACCATGTAATGACGCCGATGCCGACGAGGCTGTGTACAATAGTTTGCAGGTGTCTTAATCACTGAAGATGATGGCTTCATTCCACTAGCCCTCCGGTTTTTTCCATTACTGGAAATCCAAGGTTATGTACACCTAATTAAGCGGCCAAATTGAGAACAGAATGCTAATTATGACAGAAAAAGAGGAGAAAAGTTGAGAAAGCCTTATTCCTCTGAGAGGATGTGTTGGGGGAGGCGATGGAGCTGTACATGCCCTCACATAGGCAGACACACACACACACACGCACACACACACACAGACACACACACCTTTCCTATTGTAGGATTTCATTATAGCTCCTTGTGCTTCTCTTAGGCGGTTGCTGTTTAGATCCTCGCTCCTCCATGAATGCATAATTGATTTTCTTCAAGGTACTTTAGCGCTCTCTCCTAACTTCGCAACCCTCGTCTCCTCTTCCTCACAGGCAAAAGTCTGCTTTAATGCAACGCGATGACAAACCAAGATTAAGATTAGGCGTTGTTTAACAGCTAACTTATAAAAGCCGGCGCCGTGAGACTCGCTTTGCATTTGGACTGCAAGGTTTATCACGGCGGAAATGGTGGCAATTTAGCAGCCGACGTGAAATAGCTTATATATTTGTTTTTCCGCGATAATGTATGAGGGCCCTCTGGCTATTTGGGTTCCAGATGCATACTTTTTAGTGGTTCAGCTTGTACGACTTTTGCAGTCATAAAGGTCAAAATTAAATTTAGCACTGCTTAGTCTTTTATTGTGTTGCAGTGTCAGCTGCGGGATCGATGGCCTCGTTGCGGAGGTATAAACCTTCCGGAACTATACAAGGATACAAGGGCAATTATTTGCCAAAACAAAGTGAATGTGTTTGTTGTTTGTTCTGTCTTGTTCGTATAAAATAAAAGTACCCAAATAGATGGTGTCAGTTGTCATGCATCAAGTACTTCCTGTAACACAATGTTAAGCTAATTATCACAACTGCTGTCTTTTTAAAAAATGATTTTTTAACCGCTGTCATTCATCTGTGGCTCTCCTAGACGGTCAACTCCGACACACAAAGACAGGAGACGCTTTTATCTTCAACGCACGAGAGGATCTCCACCGCTGGAACCAGAAACGTTACGAAGCTCTCGGAGAGGTAAGCAATCGTTTGCGGATTCGAGTAACCGTGCGAGGTCATTTACAAGCCCCCCCGGTCACCGAAATACATACAGAGTGTCTCTATATGATTAGGTTTCTAATGCCCCCTTTTCTCCCTTTGTAAGTTCAGTGAGGCAGAGCAGAAAGCATTTCATTCACTGTCGCCGTCACGTCAAACATGTCAAAATCCAGCCAGCCGCAGCCTTTCATTTTCACTCTACCCCACAGTGTCATCATATGATGGCGGCATTCCGGCTCTTTTGTGGCAAGCAAATGTAAGATTTGGGGAATAAAATCCTATCATGAAATTTTCCAATTTGGGTTACGATTATCCGCCAAAATGAAAAGAAGAAACCCCATTCAGCAAGAACCAAGAAGTAGGCTTATTTTGCTTTGGTGGACCACCTGAAATGAGGTGGTGGACCGGATTTGGCCCCCGGGCCTTGATTTCGACTCACGCTATTTATGTTGTGTGCTGAATGTTGACGACAGGACCACATGATTCAATAATACGGTAATATTGTGGTCGGTTACCCCAATTAGTGTCATCTTATTTTAAAATTGAAAAAAACAGCAAAAGGCAAATGCCTCGATTTGGTGCGGCCATTTTCTTGGGGAACATGAAATCATCACGACTCTTCATCCACTTCATTCATCTGCCCAAAATACATGAGCGAATGTACCAGGAAATAAATATTGCATTAAGATAATGAGAAAAAAAATCATTTGTAATCTTTTTTTGCCCCCTTTTTTTTTCTATTGTATCTTTCCGCACATTTTTTAATTGTCGTGTATATTCTTTGAAGTTCAAAGCAAAAGGAGGGGGGCGTTTGTGGGATTACTGTGTTTTTTTTTTTGTTTGGTTTTTTGCACATCATGTACAGGTATAACAAAGGTAGAAAAGAGGCTCCTTTGAGAGTCAGCCTTCTGTGTGGGATTCTCTTTTGTCTGCTAATGCGCTATCCAGCAGGATCTGTAAGGGATGTGGATCCAAGTACATGGCTGCAGACTAACAAATAATCATCAAGCATTATGTATGCAAATGTTGATTCATCAGATGATTAAAAGATTGTCTGGAGCACAGTAGGCTAGTGCTGAATTCAGCTTTCGCGGCGACAGAAAATACATACATTGCACTGCAGGAGAGTGGAAATGTAGGGACGCCACATGAATGAATAAGCAGAGTTAGTCGTCAAGGCCACTCCAACTATATATGAAAAAAAAAACAAAAATCTTACTTGATGAATGCAGCCTTTTGTGTTGTAATCTAAAACACTTAATCTTTTGCACATGCTTGTTTTAAATAGAAAAGTGGGTTGTGCTGCTTCGTCAGCCTACGTACAAAACATAGGTAGGGGGTGTCCTGCATGCTGCCGCATTGTTTCTTGTTGCGTACCAGAACACATCATTGCCATTGTCATCAGAACTGTCCTGAGCTGTTGTCTCAGTTTAAAAGGTTGTGGGGATTTTTTATTTATTTATTTTCTTTGACACGTTTGAAAGTTGAGGTTCATCTGCTCGTACAAGACATCATTGAGCCAAATGTTGAAACCAAGTGAACAGATTGAGAGGTACTCGAGTTAACTGTGTCGTCGTTTCATCTGAAGGTGATTCCTTGGCTTGACGCTCACGCTGACTCACTTGCCAACTGCAGGTTGTGGGGGGGGCACTGCATGTGTCCCCCCCGTTGTAATTTTTCCCCTCCGAATGCGGGACATATGGTTGGTCAGACGTCATAAGGGTAGGACAAGCACGCATGGCTCGACCGCGTATTCCCTGAAAACATCCCGATGCCCGCTCTCAACCGCAAGGTGGAGTAAAGGCCATTCATGCACAAGCCACCACTCCCTCCACTCTTTCTTCCACTGTTTCTATATCTACATGGCGATGGCGTGTGCGACAGCCCGATATTGTCAGACGCATCGCGGCACCAGATGTCCAATTTGCACTTCAACCTCGTCTGAATGGAGGGACCCAAAGCGAGACGGCAGCGTGTGGATAAGGATGCGATGTCCTTCCTCCAAATGAAAGAGAGTGCAGGGAATGTTTGTAAGCCGCGAGAACTACTCTTGACGTTCCGCACGTGCTGTACGTGTGGCGTGATGTGGGAACAGAAATGAATTTGCTCACGCTTTGACGATGCGTTCATTCGCTGCTTACAAAATATGGTACTGCCAGGTGCTATCCAGCAAGCAAGAGATGCAGCAAGAGAAAAGTCATTGCTAACTCGTACTTAACAAGACGCGCGCATACGTATCGTTAAATGGGTGAGTGCAAAAAGGAGTAACCCGTGTAATGCTACTCCTCAGACTCTTTTCAATCTGTTCTTCATGTACTGCACTCCATGTACAATCTGGAACCTCCAAAATGACCAGACAGTATTGTATATAATATATGTATAGTCTGAATTTTTGGTATGTCTCATGAAATTGTACGGACGCTCTTAATGAAGTATCCAGTGACTATCTGGTGTATCACTTGAGAAAATAAAGACGGAAGCTCCTTTCTCGCTCTTCGAAAATGGCATCCATTTTTGCATCAGATAATGATGCACTGTGGGCCGTGCGCATTAGCGCCCCACACTTTTTCCACACGTTGTTAATGGGCAGACGGTACCTTCATCATCAAGGTAAAACCCAACATCCCCCCCAATCGAAACCCTTGAGTTCCGTATCATTATCCCTACCACTTAGTCGGCTTCTTACTCAGCGAAATTTTCAGTTGCACCGTGATGTGTCGCTCACATGACCAACTCAGCGAATTTGTACCGCAGCGGTTTCTTCAAGGTCAACGTGCTACTTTCGGTAAATGAATCGAATTCCCCTTTTACCATTTCTTCCTCTTTCTAAATGAGTTCATTTGCTGATGCGTTTTCGGCTGTAGAAGTTGCCGCCCTAGTTTCCCGCCAGTTCGTCGCCAGGCTCGGTAGGAGAAGGTTGCATATTACAGTCTCTCTAGTTTCCTGGTCTACATGACTCATTTTGTGAGGTGAAGTGCACATGATTCTGCAGTTTATGTGTGCCCAAGCAGACCTGCTACAGGGCTTGCTAACTTTCTTTTTTGGTGCGCGCGCGTGTGTGTGTGTGTGTGTGTGTGTGTGTGTGTGTGTATGTGGAAATAAACAGTATTTTTGATACACCAACAGTGGCGTGGATGTAGAATTTTTGCCTCTCGTTTTTTTTTCTCGTCATCTTACTGACCTGAAACATTGGACTACCGTACATTTGCAGAACGAGAAGCTGATTAGCAATTGTGTGATGTCATTGAACAAATTTGTTGCCTCATTCTTTTTGGAGAATAGGCATCCATACCACCCTCTCCCCACCATCCAGAAACGAGTCCGCAATAAGGCTATTGTCCAAAATGTAACGTGTAAATAAGATGGAATTTAATCTAATTGAAGTGTTTGTGGGAAAACTTAATACCTGCAGTATCTATGTCCGTGGAATTGTCACATTCTTCCCACACATTCTGGAAGACAAGGCATCACCAACGTGATGTATTGCGTTACAAAAACGCATTTGGTCATTTAGGCCCACAGGAAATGGACTTGAGTATGTAATGGGAATTGCTTTGTGTCCATATTCTCTTATCTCTTTTGCTGCCATGGGATTATGAAGGTTGCCCAGAAAGACTGCAAGACCACTCACCACCTGAACAGCTATCAGGAGATGAATGTATGTCCATTGAGTGTGAAATGTTTGTCCAACCAGCCAGTTGTCAAAAGGTCAAAATGAAGGCAACGTACAGGGAGATGCCACACTATCTGGACCAGGTGTAAGTGTCTTTCCAAATATGCAATATCTACAGTGAAAAACTATGGAACTGAATACCATAATGGAATGCTTTTATATGTGGGTAGTGAAAATGATTTCCTACTTTCAGGAAAATTGTAAACGCCTTCATGACGATAAGGCATTACTTTTGACGGTAGAATTGGGGAGGATTTCTTTACTGTCATTGATGTCTCTAACCTGATATTTTTTATTGGTATGATGGGCAGTTTTCACATGAAAAGGATGAAAGAAGATACATTGTTGCCCTACTGTTGTTTTTGTAAGAGCTGTCTGAAATGGATTTAATGAAAGAAAACAAATGTGTTTTATTTAAGGTAGTGAGGCATGGGATACTTTCCCTACACTATATAGTTTTGGCATGAATTTGAATTTGGCATATTTAAACATGCAATAGTCTCATTTTTGCCGCACTGTCGACACTACACTTTGTTTCTTGAACACACATTTGAGAGTTGAATTTCACACTTTAATAACTAACACTGGATAGTGTGGATGCATATCAACACTTTGCTGGTGTTAAAATTAACAGCCTTTGATGTTGAATTAACACCAACAGATTTGTAATTTACAAAGCTGTACATATTGCACTATGATTCAGCCCTTGGCGAACACAAAAAATAGGCTAGCTTCACACCGTAGCTCAATTCCTAATTTTTTTTTTTTTTTTTGCCCATGTGCGACATGCATCAGATATTCTTTTCATGCAGTGTGAACAGTACAATTCTGATTATTTCAAATCCGTTGAAACACATTTGACCGTTATGTCATCAAAGATTTCCCCAACTTAATCCACCTTGTACTACCACAACTATCATGTCCCAGTCACAGAAACCATGAATGTACAAATAAACAAAGACAGAACGTAGCTGTGCCACCTACATAATGTGGAGCATTTCAGAATGAATCTTATCTCATAGCATTGCAAAAATAAAGATATTTTTGGGTTTGCTTTTATCTTAGATTGGAAAGAGTCAACTGCAAATAGCTCTGTTTTTGCAGTTTGCGGCTGTATTAAGATAATATAATCTGACATGACATTCTGTTTCTTCTCAGACTTGCTGTCAAGAATAGATTTAGATGAACTCATGAAGAAGGATGAACCCCCCTTCACCTTCCCCAAAACCCTGGAGGAATTTGAATATGCCTTCAATGATTGTAAGTAGACATTTAAAGGCATGCTCTGCAATATTTTCAAGAAAAC